ATTCAAACAAGCTTGACAATGTGTCTCGAGAAGCTGTGGATGGCTGGACCTCTCTGACTGCAATTAGTCTGGCAGGAAACATGTGGGACTGTGGACCAGTTGTGTGTCCACTAGTGGCCTGGCTGAGAACCTTCCGTGGAAACAAAGAAATTAATATGATTTGTGCATCACCCAAAGAAGTTCAAGGGGAGAAGGTTATGGATGCAGTTAATGTCAATGGAGTTTGCAGGGTTGCCCCTGCTACGCCATCAACCGTAATTGTTCCCTCTACCTCTTTTGTCGCCTTTGCCCAGATGTGGATGGCTGGACCTCTCTGACTGCAATTAGTCTGGCAGGAAACATGTGGGACTGTGGACCAGTTGTGTGTCCCCTAGTGGCCTGGCTGAGAACCTTCCGTGGAAACAAAGAAATGAATATGATTTGTGCATCACCCAAAGAAGTTCAAGGGGAGAAGGTTATGGATGCAGTTAACGTCAATGGAGTTTGCAGGGTTGCCCCTGCTACGCCATCAACCGTAATTGTTCCCTCTACCTCTTTTGTCGCCTTTGCCCAGACCCCTACCAGCTCTTTCATCCCGACTATCAAATCTGGAGACAGCAGAAGGGGCCAGGGGACATCCTTGGAAGGCAGCACCTCTTCAGCACCTTCTCAGCCCGCTGTCCCACCACCTGAGCAAGACTTCGAACCGGTGTCATTCCACAAGATTGTGGCAGGAAGTGTTGCCCTCTTCCTATCAGTTGCCATGATCCTCCTGGTAATTTATGTCTCATGGAAGCGCTATCCAAGCAGTGTTAAGCAGCTACAAGAAAACTCGGCTGCTGCTCGCAAACGTCGGAAAAAATCACGGGAGACAGAGCGCACACTCAGCACACCATTGCAGGAGTACTATGTGGACTACAAGCCTAATAACACAGAGGGTACGGATGTGCTGGTCAATGGTACTGGACCATGCACCTACACCATCTCTGGCTCCAGAGAATGTGAGGTAAGACTCCACACAACTTATAGTCCATTGATTTTGGTGTGAAAAGAGGTCAGTTTTTTAACTGCTTTTAAGAAATTCCTTTTGTTCTTGTGCTGTTTCTATGCCATATTTGGGAGTTTTTTTGTTGGATAAAAATGTGTGCGTGGGAGGGATATGTTTTTGCCAGGGTTATTTTAGGAGGGACGTTTTTTAAATGTTTTTGGCACAGTTTGTTTAACCTTGGATGAGGAGTTAATTTACAATTACATATTGATTTGTTGGTGCATATTTGACGAGCCCTGTTAATTCAGTTGAGGTTTTTTTCATTTAGGAGCAGTTGTATTTTAGCCTGTGCTATGTCACATTGTATTTATGCATTGGTATGTCTACCTGCAATACCTTCTTCTATCTGTGAGGCATCTACTTGAAAAAGGTATTGCAGGTAGACATATCAATGCATAAATAAAATTTGTGATTCTTTGAAAAGGTTAGTTACAGTAATCGCAGGATAACAAACTTCTTCAATAAGCTGCTGTGTCGCAATTATTTATTTGTCCTCATTAACATATGTATGCTCAATACTCCCAAAATCAAAATGAAATGGTTTTGTCTATGTGGAACTTCAAACATATCCGGTTAATGAAAATACCTCCTAACCATCCTTCTAATCCTGACTCCTATACACTCATTGGTTCTTTCAACACTGTTTGATGATCCTTGCTCAGTTAGTGTGAAACCGTGCAAAGCACAGTGTGAAACACTCCAATTCTCTCTATTTTCTCTCTTCTTTTCCTCGTGATCTTCCTGGGGCTATGAGAATGTCTTTAATAACACCCCCACTTTATCTTCCAAGGGCTCTTTTTTGTCTTCTTCCATGTCTATGACTACATACCTATTTTTTTTAGCCTCTTATCTTTGCTTCACATTCATCCTTCCCTCTTGAATCATCTTTCCCTCATTTTAGATAATCCTCTTTTATACTTCACCATATTCTGTAGTTCCAATTTACAAAATACTAATTTTCTCAGTGTGTCACTCAGGACTCCGCTGACAATCGTGTGTTGATTTCTGGGGTCAATTGCCACTTTTTAAGGAGCTGGTTTTGTGTGTGGTTTGTATACTTGGCTATATTTACATATGTTCATGCTTTTCCCAAGAGGCAGGTGCTACCTTTACTCCTTCGGGCTAAGAAACCTGTCAGTGGTACAGTAAGGTGTCGTTAGAGGCAGACACTGCCTCTGGCAGAGCCATGATAGGGTGTATATGCTGGTGGCAAGCAAGACAGGCCTGAGTGAAACAAGAAAGGCAGGAAGACATGCTAGCAGGCCAATTGGCATGATGCCAGACAGGTAAACAGGTATGCCATCACAGGAAGAGAAGACTATAAAGGTGTGTGAGAACGCAAAGGCACACACAGAATGACATCCTGACAGATATGTTGACCTCTGCACACGGGCCTATTCCCCTTCTCTGATCTGCCACCTCAAAGTATATTTTGAGATATCAGAGGTGCACATCAGAGTCCAGCAGATTGGCATGTTTTTCTCTTGTGAATTCCCCAGGTCAAAGAACAAACTTTTTTCATTATTACGTGCAAATCCCCAAGTCTCTTGCACAGCATGTGTCCCTTTTGCCATTGTGATGATAGCTCTTGTCAGCACAAAAAGAACAACTGAAAGAAGAAAACAATTTGTCTCACAGTGTTCACCTATTGCTTGATCAAAGGGCCAAGTTTTGGTTTGTTAGCATGACCTCATTAGCCCTTGCTGGCAGATACTGTAACAGTAAAAGTAAAAGCAGTAACAGTTATTTGTCCATTAACGGTTATTCCACAATATTTTGTAATGTTTCATTATATTGTAGTAAAAATGTCTACTTTTTTTGTGAAACAACTTTAATATGCAATTATTTGCTTAGACCTTGCTAACTATTGCTTAAAGTTTAGGGTGAACCTGTCAAGTCCATAATCATCAAAAGGCCTCACATCGAGTGCACTTACTTGACCTGTGTCTATTATGTTTTCCATTAATAGTCTATAATTCTGAATTGTTTGCCTTCTTTTTTCCCCTACCGTCCCCCATACCACAGCATTGCTGCATCAACACTAATGTGGTTTGGCTCTAAAGTTTAGGGTGAACCTGTCAAGTCCATAATCATCAAAAGGCCTCACATCGAGTGCACTTACTTGACCTGTGTCTATAATGTTTTCCATTAATAGTCTATAATTCTGAATTGTTTGCCTTCTTTTTTTCCCCTACCGTCCCCCATACCACAGCATTGCTGCATCAACACTAATGTGGTTTGGCTTCCCTCCCGTGCAGCAAAGCGCACGTCACCCATGATTGATGAGTTCTATTCTCTCTCCTGCGATTTGGTATTCCACACGCGCACCTGATTTACGGGCTTTTCACATCAAGCCAAAAGACTAGATTCAAACACACAGTTCAGATTGCTCCTGTCTTGAAAACCAGTGTTCTCCTCATGCCTTACATCTCTTCTGTTGCGAATCACAAATGGCATAAATGTGTGGAAGAGACTGCTAAGAGGGATTGTCCTCTGACCTTACCTTGAAAGCGGTTCTCTGTTAACCAAGATCTAATGTCTTCTTCGATCGATTTAGATCAACCGAGCATCTTTATCATCAGAACTCATAAAGGCTCAACTGCGGATGAAGTGCACCTTTAATCCATTAATTTAAGTGACTTTCTTTTACTGAACAGTCATCATGCTGTAGCATACTAGAACTGTACAGTTTTTTTTCCTTGCTATGGTAGTCGTGATTTAGTCATTTTGATTAATACAATTTACATTAAAATTACACAACTGTTCTAAAAAACACACACAGTTTGACATTTATAATATGTTAAACAGTTTTGCATTTCCAATATTTATTATTGTAGTTGTTGGGAGATGTCACAAAACCCATCAGTTATCTTTACGCTGTGACTTATACCTCATTACATGTTCTCATAAAACATAAAATACTCACATAAGTGCAGGAATGAGAGCGTCACACTGCCAGGCCCATTGGGGCTATCGTGTGTATATGTGTTATGGCATGGAGGCTCTGAAATAGAGCATGCTTTTGAAGGCACCTCATTCAATATGAATTCTTTTTAGTTGTGAGCAATTAGGCCAGTACCATCACATTTTGTCGTATTGTACATTATGTTGCTGTCACATTTGCATTAAAAGCTTAACCTGTCAGCCTGTGATGTGTTTTGTGGATTTAAAATTGCACTAATTGCTTTTGTAGAAAAAAGAAAAAAAAGAACAAGAACTTTGCTTCATGTAACAGTGAAAGGCCTACAACAAGGGCATTAATCAACATTAGACTCAACAAATTTTAGTTAACAAATTGGTGTTGAACAGTACCTTTGACCCCAGCAAATAATGAAAATGGACTAATCCCCCCAAACAGACAAAAGTGCCTTCTGGAAATTAACGTTTGGATCACAAATCTGGCTAGCAGTTCAGATTGGGCTCATGAATTAAAAACTAGAGAACTGTACTAAACTAGAGAGGGAAAGGTGAAGAAGAAAAAATGCACTCATATTTAAGTTCATTGTGCTCGCCGATCAAAAAAGGGAAAGTATTTTTTTTTTCTTTCAGTAAACCGAGTCAAGAACAAAAATGCTATGTTTTTCAGTTCAGCATTAAACATGGGAAACAAGAGTCGGTGCCGATAGCCTTGTGGTTAGTACGGCGACCCGAGTTCGATTCCCGCCTCAAGGTCCTTTGCTGATCCCTCTCCCCTCTCTCCACCCAACGCTTTCCTGTACACTCTCTACTGTCCTCTCCCATTAAAGGCATAAACAAGCCCATAAATATAACTTAAAAAAAAACTAAACATATATTTAAAAAGGGTATAACATGAACAGCTGTTTGTAATCATGAGAAAAAAAGGTTAATTTTCTTATATCATTTTATATCAAAGTGCATTTTTGATATTTTACTTTTATTTTTTTATTTTATTTCTTTATCTCTATTATTATTTTTATTTGAAGTTGTCACTGGACCACTTTTTTAAGAAGTCAGATTTCTCTGTCTGTTTCTATTATAGATGCATTCTTGTAATTTCAGTTGATAGCATACATCCTGAAATACAATCAGGAGTATTAATTGCACCACTAGCACATTTCTCTTTGATTAGAGGACAGTTTAAATATAAAGTTGCACAGCTTACCCCACTCTCTCCTACTGCAAATGAACATTACTGGATGAGTCTAGCAGAAAAAGGCAATACTCTTCTCTGATATTAAAAGAAATGAGAGATGTGATGAGAGAATCTAGATTCTAGAAGAACACATCCACCTCACTGTTACCTGTGAGTCACAGCCCATTTAATTTAGCACCAATCATGCTTTTTAATGTCTGCAGAGTACATTATAATTTATTAGGATTACCATAAACTTGAGCCTGCAGCCTGGCACAAGGGCATTCCAGCCTCCCCCTGCAGAATGGCTTTCTGATAGCAAGTCTTGACGTCAATCATCATGAAACGGCTAGCTGTACTTTTTCTCCTACCCTTCTGATTTTTGTCCCAGTATCTTCAGGTTGGCAAAGCTTTGGCACCTGATAAATATTTATGCCCATCAGTGCCTGTCATTTTTGGCCAAGGATCCTGCATAGCGAACAGGGCTGAAGGGTCCTCATCATTTGCTCCTTAGAGCAGGGAGGAGGAACAGAACCAATGAGGGCTCTCGCTGCAAAAGTGGCCCCTCATGAAAACAGTTGAGAATCAAAAACCATTGAGAAGCGAGAGTGTTTTTTAGGGGGTAGGGTGGGGTGTATTTGGGATTGTGAGAGAGGGTTGTTTTGTGTCCCAGATGGCCTCTTGACCTCTTTTTATGAAAAACAGAGTTGGAGTGATTTGATTCTTAATATGATTGTGCAGGGACTGATCCAAGTTGTCTATTTAAAACATACAGTATATGTTGTTTGGAGGCTTTTGTAAGTGGCAGTCTAGTGGAGTGCAAGCACCCTTGGCTGAAAAGTGACAGTAATTCAATGGTTCATTCACATTTGAACTCCCACAAATCTTTAGTATGCTTTGCTGGATTTGTAACATGTTTGCTCATTTTAACTAAAATTGTATATCTTGGTTTGAGACATTTTATAAAGTAGTGATTTTCTGTGTATATTGATGAAATATTTAAATGAAAGGTATTTAAATGAAAGATCATTTGAGGAGATGCTGTGTATTTGTACCTTATTGGTTATTTATTTGTTTAAATCAATATTAGGTATTTAATTGTATATATTAATGTCCTCTATTTTTGCATTTGGACTAAAGTTAAAGGGTTAGTTCACCCAAAAATTTAAATTATGTCATTAATTACTCACCCTCATGCCATTTCAAACCCTCATGTCGCCTGATCTGTTTCCTACTTTGTTGTGATTTGATCTGTAAGGAAACAGCGTATCCATGTGACGCAGCTGACACACAACAGCATACGCTGTTTATGTCCAGCGGATATTCTCCAAAATGTCACCAGGGTGATGCGGAGGAGACGAATTGTTGAATAAAGTTTTTTTGTTTTTTTTTCTTTCGCTTACAAAAAGTATTCTCGTAGCTTCGTATAATTGCGGATGAACCACTGATGTCACATTGATTATTTTACCGATCTCCTTGCTACATTTCTGGACTTGGGAACATTTCAGTTGCGTTGCTGTCCATGCGGGGTCAGACAGCTCTCAGATTCCATCAAAAATATCTTAATTTGTGTTCCGAAGATGAACGAAGGTCTTACGGGTTTGAAACTACATGAGGGTGAGTAAATAATGACAGAATTTTCATTTTTGGGTGAACAAACCCTTTAATCTTTAGTAACATTAAAAACACTGTTAAATCTAAATTTTAGCAAATCTGAAAATTAATATAATTTTTTCATACTTTATTGAACTTTAAATGATTTTAGTTTTTAGTGTCTTACTTTCATATTTAATTATTTATATTTCTCTATAAATACTATATAATTTTTTAAAATTGGTGATTTATCAGTTAAATAATGATTTATCAGCTTGCCAGTATCAGACAGAATTTTAATATCTGTACATCTCTAATGTTTTTGTTTGTTTGTTCGTTGGAAATTGTTAAATGCTGTATGGCTGGAATCACCAACTACCTCATGGAGCAATACACAAAACTTGCTGCCTCAGGATATAATTTTACTCTTGGCGTCAGGTTTTTTAATTATGTTGTGGATAGTTTGTGGTATAAGCGATATAGCATGTTTATCACATTTCTCCCCTCAAACATTATGTACCATCATACCGCCCAACCTTACCTTGTATTTGCTTACACAGCTAACCAAGTTACATTCCCACTGGAAATTACAGATCTATGTACATTTTAAAGACTGGAGCCTTAAAATCCATCCAACAACAATGCAGCGTATTTTATGAGGGGATGGAGGGTAGCACTGGAAGGAAACACAGAAAAACACAGCAGACTGAAAGCCTAATTAATCAAGCCTTCCTTTATTAGCCTCTGTCCCCTCCATTATGTGCTTTCCAATGTGTTCACTCCATTCCTCTCTCTCCTGCTCTGTATCTCAGCATTTTTACTCTGTCCTTTCTCTCTCGCTTTATTTGCTGCTCTTTCTCTATTCATCTTTTTCACAGCCTCTATTTGTTTCTCTTTCATTCCCTTTTCTTGTGTCCGTCTCTTTATCTTCCTGTCTCTCTCTGCCTTCGCCTTGCGAGGACATCGCAATATGCTTCGGTGTGATAAACAAGCTCTCTCTGACGCAGAGGGCAGAAGAGGCGACGGCGTAGGTGTCTAAGCCTGCACGGTGTGTCTCTGACGGATGGAAAGAGAGACAAAACAGCTGTGGACTGATATCGAGGGCTTGCTTTCCTGACCGGGCATTGTTTGTAAGGCGCTCGGAGACGCTGGAATGGGAGAGCTGGTCATTGTGTTCCGTGTCTGGCCCTCGGCCCTAGACTGGAGCCCTCCCGTGTGCTCATGTCGATTAGGATCATGTCATGGCTTGAGCAGGCATTTGGCCCAGTAGGCACACATGAGGCTCTCACCTCTCAAGTACATGGTGCATGGTGGGCTAAAGCATGTTTCTCGTTCAGAAGCTCAGTTTTGAGCAGAAGAATACCGCTGATTATGATTATAGTGCAGCGATGCAAGGGTAGAATTAGCAGAACCTCAAATGTCAAGACTCTGCACCGTACATACGTACGTAAAGAAAAGGTGTTGTCAGCTTAAATGGCAGTTTTGTCCTTTTTCAGACAGAGGTTCATTGTGCTTGAATGGATAGTTCACCCAAAAAATTAAAATCTTGTCATCTTTTACTCGCCTTCATGTTGTTCCAAACTGGTATGACTTTCTTTCTTTTGAGGAGCAATCGTTTGAGCCTCTTTTAAAACCTTTAGCCTACCGGCTGTGGGAAAATTGAAAAATAATTTCTAATAGATGATGATAATTAAATGAAGCA